ACATCCTTCTCCAGGGAATGGTCCCTTCTGACAACATGACCAAAATAGGTGAGACGAAGTCTGGCCATTCTTGCTTCCAAGGAGCATTCTGGCTGCACTTCCTCCAGGACTGATCTGTTAGTTCTTTTAGCAGTCCACGGTACTTTCAGCATTCTTCGCCAGCACCACAACTCAAAAGCATCAACTCTTCTTCGGTCTTCCTTATTCATTGTCCAGCTCTCACATGCATACCAGGCGATTGGAAATATCATGGCTTGTGTCAGGCGCACCTTAGTCCTCAAGGAGATATCCTTGCTCCTCAGCACTTGAAACAGTTCCTTCGCAGTTGACTTCCCCAATGCTACACGTCATCTAATGTCCTGACTGCTGCTTCCGTTGGCATCGATTGTAGAACCAAGCAACATGAATTCCTTGACAACCTCAATCTTCTCTCCATTTATTGTGATGCTGCTCATTGGTCCAGTTGTGAGGATTTTTGTTTTCTTTATGTTGAGATGTAATCCATACTGCAGACTGTATTCTTCAACCTTCATCAGTAGGTGCCTTAAGTCATCCTCACTTTCAGCAAGCAAAGTTGTATCGTCTGCATATCTCAGGTTGTTAATGATTCTTCCTCCAATCCTTATACCACGTTTTTCTTCATATAGTCCAGCTTCTCGGATTATTTGCTCAGCATATAGATTGAATAAGTGTGCAGAAAGAATACCACCCTGACGCACTCCCTTCTTGATTTTAAACCATGTAGTGTCCCCTTGTTCTGTTCGAACGACAGCCTCCTGGTCAAGGTACAGATTCCTCATGAGTACAATCAAGTGCTCAGGGATTCCCATTCTTCTCAATGTTATCCATAATTTGTCATGATCCACACAATCAAATGCCTTTGCATAGTCAATAAAACACAAGTAAACATCTTTCTGGTATGGTAAACACATATTTAGGGGAGAAATAATGCAATCCGTAACTTCATTCTAATATTTACAGACACAAGTTTCCTTATGACCTACCTGCCTTATAAATTTATGGCAAACACTTCTTTGTTTATTCATTTCAATTTAGGTATAGAGATATTTTTGTTCTTTATATTTACTCTATATTACTTATCTCTAACCATCTTTCAACAATTTAACTGAAAACATATTTACTGAGAATCACTTTATACAAGGCACTGTGTTAGGCTGTACTAAGTCTATAATCTATGAAAGAGGAAAAAAACAGCAAATAAATCATGACAATTAATACAGAATTAAATGAGTGAATGATAAATGTAAACAAATTTATGGATGTATAGGAAATGTTTTTATTAACTTGAGTACTGTAATATGTCTTAAATATTATATTAGATTTCATAATGAGAGAAGCTGGAAGAAGAAGAAAGTTGAGGAAACATTATGAATCAAAACCAAGAGCCTACCAAATGCCCTTTTATGAAATAGCTAAAGTATGTGATTTTTGTTGGGAAATAAAAGAAGAAATTAAAATAAAAGAAATATGTTGTTATCAAAAACCAAACTCACTGCTGTGGAGTCAGAGCCAACTCAAAGCGACCCCTTGTTGGGTTTCTGAAGCTCTATCACTATGGAAGTAGATTGCCCACTTTCCTTCCAATGAATGGCTGGTGGGTTTGAACCACCAGCCTCCTGGTTAGCAGTCAAATGCCTTAGTCACTACACCACCAGAGCTCTTATTAGATGTAACAAATCTTCGAATGACATGAAAATCCATCTGAAATTTATTTATTGACCATGGACAATATTGATGAATTTTAAGAGTTTAATATTCAGTAAAATATTTGTAAATCTCTGTATTAATGAAAAAAGGACCAAGAGGGAATATATGCCGAGAAAATAAGTTATGGCCATCATTATGGGAATAAAAATGGTGGTCAAATGAAAGATATTTTAGAGAGAAGCTCCACAGTTTGCAGTGAAAACAACAACACTAACACTGATTAAGTTTTTACCAACTAAGAAAATTCCAGGTGTCATTTTATTTAGTTTTCACACTATTACTAAGACATAATCCAGAGGACTAGAGAAAAGTAGTTTGCCCAAGGTCACACAGTAAGTATGTAGTTGAGCTGAGATTTGAATGCAGGACTGTCTAACAATATCAGAGCTCATTAAATTTATAAGCTATGAAATGCTGGAATTGAAAGAGGTATTATCCAATGGTATATCAATTGTTCCATCCAGTGCTTTTGTCCTTGATCAACATACTGTATATGCTAAGTTTTGGTTATGCTTGAAAACGTCTTGTTATGGGCACGTGCTTGCACATCAAGTCAGCTGATTTCATTTCTGGATATGTCTGACTGCTAGAATGTTCTTATTTGTTGTGGAAAAAATACATCTCTCTATGGTTTCTAGTAGTTAGTTTTATTTCAGTCTCTTGAAAATATATAAAAAGGGTTTTAAGAAAAAAAAATCACTGACATTGAGTTGATTCCAACTCAGACACTACAGGACAGAGTAGAACTACCCTATAAAGTTTCCAAGGCTATAATCTTTACAGAAGGAGTGCACTACACATTTCTCCCACAGAGGGGCTGCTGGGTTCAAACTGCCAAGCTTTCAGTTAGAAGTCATGTTCTTAAACACTGTGCCACCAGGGTTCTTTTAGAAAGAGTTCCATACCCCTTAATTATGGCAACATTTTAAACATTTAGAGATTGCTGTCACATGCTGCATTACAGTAAATTGGTCCTCCTAGCAATAGTCCTCCATTTTGTTATGTATTGTAAATCCAAGTTTGTATGTCTGTTTAGCGTGGCATGTATTTTGAGTCCTGCCTTGCTGGAGGGTGTGACTCAAGTCATACCCATAATTGCTTGAGGGTATACATGTGAATGTTCTGGGAAAGTTCACTCTCTTGCTTTGCTCCTTTGTTTCATTCATCATCCTCTCACTCCAGGACTTGAGACAACAGCCAGTCATCTGATCCACTGATTTGGGTTCACCAGCTCCTGCAACTGTGCAAATGCAAAGAATCCTCCATACCTAACTATGGACTTGGAACTTGCCAGCCTCTGAGGCTCCACCACCACGTGGCCAGTTTCCTTGGCAGTTTGTGAGTTCTGTGAGATATTATAGGGAAATATGGAACCCTAAAACAGAAAGGAGAGTATTGAAGGAAGAGGAGGGTTTGAATGTTAGAGATGATGGAATGATACAGCAACTTGCAAAAACTGGGCATTTGGGACATCTTTAACCTCTGCCTCAAAAGGACCAGACTCGTGATGACCTTTCCAAAAGAAATCATTTGAGCATATTGTTGTTGTCGTTGTTGTGTGCCATCAAGTCAGACCCGACTCATACCAACCCCTCCTTGGGTTTCCAAGGCGGTATCACTACGGAAGTAAATTGCCCAATCTTCCTTCCGAGGTTGGGCAATTTACTTGAGCATCTTACGTGAACTTTTTTTTTTTCCTAGTTATATACTCCCAGTTGTTTGAGCTATTTTTCAAAAGACAAAGTTTCTAAATACGTTTTCTGAAACTGCCCAGTTTATCTATATTTCACATATTGTATCCCAGCTGAACATAGTAATCCAATTTTTATTAAGTAGGACTATGAATTTTTGTTTTATAGAATATGGTTGTTTTCTTTGCAAATGTCAACAAAAGACATATAAGACTTTGTAAAAATCTCCATCACACTATTGATGAGAATTGCACTTAGACTGAAATCCATAACTCTATGTTGCATGTGCTCTACTAATCCATGTCTCTGTAATCTTTAACTTCTGTAGCAAACACATATAGAATAGATAATTACAAAAATTGGCCAGCCTAGAAGACATGTAATGTTTGTCTTCCAAAACCCTTCATATATCTGGATAATATGCATAGTCCTCTGACCTCCAGCACTTCATCCATGAAGTCAAATTAAAATAGAGATGTAGATTGCCCCATCGTCTTTCTGCAGAGTGGTTGGTGGGTTTGATCCACCAACCTTCTGGTTAGCAGTCAAATGTCTTAGGCATCAAGCCATCAGAACTCCTTAAGCATGATCTACATCTCCCCCGCCACAGGGGGTGGAATACGTGACCTAAATGTAGATCATTGTATTACTTCCCTGTGATTGTTAAATTAGGAACTATAGAACACAATACCTCACTCTTGGTGAAACTGCCGAGATATAAGCATAGGATCAGCCTGCAGTTAGGTCCCTGCCTTGTGGTCTATGTGAAGGAAGCTTGGAAAAGAACTACAAAGTCTTAAGATGAAAAGGTCTTGTTAGCTATCCAAACCTTCAGCTATTTTTAGTTAGAATGTTAGTAAGTAAAACAACTTAGACTAATACAAGTATTTCCACAGGTTTATGTCCACAATTTTATATTAATTATAAAAGGTATTTACTACTTGTCCTTAGGAGCTCTGGTAGCATAGTGCCTAAGGCACTTGACTGCTAACCAGTAGGTTGGCGGTTCAAACCCACCAGCCACTCCTCAGAAGGAAGGTTGGGCAATCTACTTCCATATGATACTGCCTCAGAAACCTAAGGAGGGGTCGTTATGAGTCGGGTCCGACTTGATGGCACATAACAACAACAATACTTGTCCTTATTCAGAGTCAAATAGAAATGTGATTATATGCCTTTTTAATATGTGACATTAATGATTACATATTGAATATAAGAACAGAAGAAACAAGTCCTGAGGGAAAAAATAATAATAACATTCCTTCTGACTGACCAAAAAAATTCACAAATTTGTGTTTTCTCAAAAACATTTGTAAAATATCTTAATTATAAGATTCTTGAAGTGTATGATTCCTCTTGTGGTGAACCGTAATCATTGGATCTTCCAGGGACACAGGAGAGGCTCAAGAGATCTCCAGAATATTAATCTATTTTGATAAAGGAAAAAAATAAGGATCTCCACAGAATTATTATCTCCCCTCCACACACATGCATACATATGTACATGCACTCAAACACACACACTCACATACACAGAGTGAACTTCTTTTCTTTTCTTTTTTAGAACCTGTTGTGAGGAAAATGGAGCTTAGAAATTATTCCTCAGTAACTGAGTTCATCCTCACTGGGCTAACAGAACATCCTGAACTCCAGCTACCTCTCTTCCTCCTCCTCTTAGGAATCTATGTGGTCACTGTGGTGGGGAACCTGGGCATGATCACACTGATTAGATTTAGTTCTCACCTTCACACACCCATGTATTATTTCCTCAGCAGTTTGTCCTTCATTGATTTTTGCCATTCCACTGTCACTACCCCAAAAATGCTGGGGAACTTTGTGACAGAGAAGAACATCATCTCCTACCCTGAATGCATGACTCAGCTCTATTTTTTCCTTGTTTTTGCTATTGCAGAGTGTCACATGCTGGGTGTAATGGCATATGATCGCTATGTTGCCATCTGTAACCCATTGCTTTATAACGCTATATGTCTTATCAAATCTGCTTCTGGCTTATAGCAAGAGTTTATATTTTGGGTATTATTGGGTCTACAATTCATACAGGCTTTATGGGGAAACTCTTTTTCTGCAAGACCAATGTAGTTAACCATTACTTCTGTGATCTCTTTCCACTCCTGAAGCTAATCCTGCTCCAGCATTTATATCAATGAGTTATTAGTTGTGGGACTGAGTGCATTTAACATAATAACTCCTGCCTTAATCATTATTGCTTCTTACATCTTCATCATTAGCAGCATTCTCCACATTCACTCCACTGAGGGCAGATCCAAAGTCTTTAGCACTTGCAGCTCTCACATCTTGGCTGTAACAATATTTTATGGTTCTGCAGTGTTTGTGTACCTGCAGCCATCTAATGTCAGCTCCATGAACGAAGGCAAAGTGTCATCTGTGTTTTATACTACTGTCGTGCCAATGCTGAACCCCATGATCTACAGTCTGAGGAATAAGGATGTCAAATATGCTCTGAAAAAAATTCTAGAAAGTAGAGCTCATGAATAGAATCAATGCTATAATGTCCTACTAGATTCAAATCTTTAGTTTGCTGATATATATAATTCAGTTAATTCTTGAAGTTTGTGGGTTCATTGACACTTCTTTCACCTATATAACACATGGCTAAAATTCCTTTTCAAGCTACACCTTCCTTCAAGCCTATATATTACATTAAATATATAGAGAGAAACACAGAGAATAAAATCCAAGACCCTTTAGAACGACAGGAAATATAGTTTCACTTTTTGATAATATAAATAAAAAAGAACAATGATGATGATGATAATGATGATGCAAGTAATATACATTATTGAGATTTAAAAAAATGTCAAACTCTATTCCAAACACCTTAAGTGCATCACTTTATTTAATATTTACAGTATTCCTCCAGAGTAAGTACTAGTAGTATTCCGCTTTTAAAGATGAAGAAATCGAATCTTACAGAGTTTTTATAACATGTCCAGAGTCTCAGAAAATAACCAATTAACTCTCAAAACAAACCTGAGAAATTTGACTCCAAGTTCCATGATTTTACCTAAAGTGACACTTAAAGGTAACTGCAGGAGGTCTATGGGCACCCCAAGAATTCTGCACACACCAGGTATGACTAATTCCCTATATGATTGTGTTGTTGTCCTCTGAATATAGTCCATTACAATTTCACCTTTTTTGACATAATCAAAATAATCAAAATCCTTCAGATCTGTGTGAGCAAAGCAAAATGGAGCATAACTAGAAACTTCTTCATTATGGTGACTCCAGTTATTGTACATGGTATCAACTATTTGTTTAAGAGCAGCCCCTCAAAATTATTTTATCTTGATACCATTAATGATATGGTTCTTTATGATTCAATTTCTCACAAAAGCTAAAAATCAGGCTACGTTGTATCACTTCCATGTTGATTGTTTTGTTTTGCCTCATAATCTTAAAACAGTCACTTTTCATGTAAATTTTACCTTGAAAACCTTTTCTTCTCTCTCCTCATTTTATTGCTTTTCTGCTTCAGGGTATTAACATCTTCTAATTGTGACATTACATGATAATTTAAACACTCAATTGCCTTACGTTTCTCTCCAGTTCAAATTCATCCTACTCATTACTGACAGATCAACATTCTTTGTGTGATTTTCTGTGCTCCTCATCTATTTATCTGATGTAACAACTGGAATAATTTACCAGTTATAGGACAGAAATAAATAATGCCTTTACCATTGGACAAGAAAATGTAGTTGTCCTGGTTACCTAGTGCTGCTCTGCCAAGAAATATAACACTAATGAGATGACCTTAACAAACAGGAGATTATTCTTAGAATTTGGAGGCTTTAAGTCCAAGTTCAAAGTACCAGGCTCTAGGGGCTGGGTGAAATCCCCCTCAACCTTGGGGTCCAGCTCTGCCTCCTGCTCCTGGCCCACTGGAGCTAGAGGCGTTTCTTCACTCAGACAGCTGCTGGCTGCTGAGGCTGAGAAATCCCAAGGTTGACAAGTAAAAAGGCACTGTCCCAATGTTAACAAACCACACGGCAAGCCATTAACTTAAGTCCATTTAAGTCCCAAAGTTGGCAGAGCATAGGAGGCTGCTGAGCAATGACATGGCTACATGCAGGGTCCAAGTGTGCCATAGGCTAGAGACCATTCTCAAAGCTTCTCCTTATAAACAGGAAGCAGACTACATCCCAAAGGCAGCTACTCAGCTGCTTGTGGTAGATCTCACCATGGAGCTGATTGCCAGTCTCATCATGGGGAATAACTACCATCAGCTGCCCAGCCACTCAACCAGGCCCAGCCAAGTTGACAAACAAACTGAACTACCACAGTAGTCTTGTTGGGTTGGCTCCTGAAGGACTGGTGCATGATGTCATATAGAAAATATAAACTAAGTGAAAGTCAATGGTCTTATAAAGGATGAAGGGAAATGCCTGTGCAGATCAAGAAATGAATGTCATATTTAGGGTAATATAATCAATCTGCACACTGAACTCAAGGCAACCTGGCAGGAAGCAAGTAGAGAAGAGTATGCAGAAGAAAGTAAATGAGCATCACTATGGAAGTATACTAATTCAGTCTTGGCTTTGTAGGTGAGTGCAGTCATTAAAATTTTTTAAGCAGAGAAGTACCTCAATTAGTTTTAAATGTTAGTCATATCATACTTAAGCTGTTATAGAAGATAGATGGAAAGGTAATGAGATGATCTGTTCTAGCAAGATGGAGGAATAGGCAGACAGGCTGAACAGACCCTCTACAACAAAGCAATGAGAAACCAGTTGAAACTGATACAGAAGATGATCTGAGAACCCTGAACCTTGAAGGGAAGGATAAAGAAGTGGATTAAATATCAACTAATAGAAGAACCTGAAGGAAAAATGTGAGTAAGGAGACAAACAGAGTTGCAGACTGTCAGCTGTTCTGAGGACACAGCCATTTTGAACATATTTCGATAGCAACACAATTGGGTCTGCTCACTAAGGATTGTATGGACAAGGACTGCATTGTTGACTGAGTCAGAGAGGAAAACAATAAATAAGGAGACAAACAGACCAGCGTTTGTCCTGAGGGTGCAGTTATTTTGAATATTTGCAAGTGGCAGGTGGTCATCTTGAATACACACAAGTCGTTTCTTACCTGGGCAGTAACCTAGGAGTTAGCTCCATTTGCCAAGGACTGTATAGGTGACTGCACTGGAGGCTGATGGCTAGAAGGGTGCAATATATCTCTTGTTACTCTTATACCCCAAACCCTCTTGATGAACAGAGGTACAGCCATCCTCTGTCACCACCCACCTTCTTGACCACCAGGAATTCCATTCCAATCTATACCCTGACAAAGCCTAGTTGCCATGAGCTCCCATGCCCTAGTTTTGTTTTCAATCATTTGCTTCTAAATTATTTTTTTAATCTTCCTTCTTTCTTCATTTTTTCCTTCTCTTTGCTGTCCCTGGTTCTCCCTTATTTACTAATTTATTTTCATTTTTCTCTTCCCTTTTCCTGATTCCCTTTTGTTTTTCTTTTTCTGTTTCTTCACTTCCCTTGTTTTTCCTTTTGCAGTTTTCGCACTTCTTTACAATTCTTTTACTCTTGCTCTTTTCTCTCATTCCTCCCTCCCTAGATATTGTGGCTTTTTTTTTTTCTTCTTCTTCTTTTTTTCATTATCTTTCTTTTACCTTTGTAAATACATTTTGAAACTTTTTCTTCTCAATTGTATTCTTTATTCTTTGGTGTGGTGTGTGTAATTGTTCCTAATTTTTTATGTAGTTTGAGTTTTTTGTTTTCTTGTTTTAAATTTTTTGGTGGGTTTTTTTTTTTTTTTTGTCTGAGTGGTAGACTGCAACTGTTCCAACACAACCCAACAATACCTGCACCTCTTGCTGCCCCACCCACTCAATAATGTCCACCACTTGTTTTTGTACCAACTGACCAACAATAGATGGCAGCCAATACCAGCTAATCTCACCCTCAACTGCTCCTTACAAACAGCAAGCAGAGATCTGTGAACACACTCTCATTCTCTATGATACTCATCAGATCACACCATCAGGAGACAGGTAGTGAGTGCCTAAGTGCTAACAACTGGCAAATACAGGAGCAGAGTACCCTGCTTACACAAATATATCATAGCAAAATGAAGGGAAAAAACAATCTTGGACAAATCACACCAACATGCAGCCACAAATTAAACATAAATACAACTGTCTCAGAGACAATAGACCATCACAGTCTATACAAAGAAGCAAGATGAAGTAGTAGAAACAAGGAACCAGGATAAAAACCTCAGGAAGAAGCAGCATTGAAATACCCTGATATAGAATTCAAAGGAATTATATTTGAGTACCTACAACAGATTGGGGAGTGCTGGTGGCATAGTACATAAGGCATTTGACGGCTAACCAGAAGACTTGTGGTTCAAACCTACCAGCTACTCCTTGGAAGGAAAATTGGGCAATCTACTTCTATAGAGATACTGCCTTAAAAACCAAGCAGGGATCTCTATGAGTGAGAGAGAGATAAAGGAAAACACTGACAGAATTCAGCAAAACACAGAAAAAAAAACTATAGAGTGATTTAAGAAAAAAAAATACAGGAACAAATTGACAAAATAAACAAAAAAATATGGCATTCTGGTAAGATGGTGGAATAGGCAGACAAACAACACAGACCCTGTTCAACAAAGTAAACAGAAACCAATTAACACAGATACAGAAGATAATCCTAGAGCCCTGAGCTTTGACAGGAAGGATACAGAAGGGAACTAAACTCCAACTACTAGGAGAACCTGCATGAAAACACCAAAGAAGGAGACATACAGAGCTGCAGACTGTAGGCGATCCTGAAAGTACAAGTGGGTTGGATAATGCCAAGTGGTGTTAGGACCTAAGAATTAACCTAAAAATCTGCCCTGCTAGCCGGAGGCTGCATGGAGGACTGCACTGGTGGCTAGTGAATAAAAGTGGAAGCAGTGAAAAGGGAGACAGATGAGCTGTGGACTTTTGGTTGTCCAGATAGCACAGCCATATTGAATGTTTACAAGCAGTTCAACAATTTTTGGTATTTAAAGGGACAACATTCTATCAGATTCCAGGGACTTAACAATAAGCTCTACTTGCCAGGGACTGCAAGGACATACCAGACACTGAGGACTGGAAAGGTGCAATATTCCTCTTACACTTATACCCCACAACTTCTTGGTGAACAAAGTGTGGCAAGCCCTCACTCCCACCCACCTTCCAGGCCACCAGGAATTCTATCTCAGTCTTGAGTTCTAATGAAGCCTGGGTGCTCTGCCCC